TTGGAGTCACAGGACAGCTAAATTCAAACACCAGCTTTGCAAGTTCGCACGATGACAATGCAGGAAGATAAGTTTTGGGGGATTGGACTTCTTTCCAGACAAAATCAGTGACGAGGAACAATTCCAAGAAATAGAAGCTGGTCAACTTTGTGTCGACTTCAGTTTTCCGGAGCTCTGGTATATAGAATAAACGACATCGTGTATCAAAAAATTGACAATAATTTGGAAATAAACGGTTTCAGACTGGTGGTACTATACGTAGAAACACGTAGAACCTATGGGAAAATGCGACGAGGAAGTTGATAATCCAGAATAAAAGAAACCCGAAAGGTGTCATGCTTTACTAAATGGCTAGACCAAGAACATTAGACTTATGTTTTGCTCGTGACTTGGCTGAAACAATTACCATTCTGAGCAGAGAACATTGTTATAGATGCCGATCTTGCCTGAATCAACACGAGGCAAGTTTGATGACGAGTCCAGGCTGGGGGATTATCTGGAAGAGCTAAGGACATTCGTCTGAGAAAGGAACATTATGTGAAATTCGTATATAGACTTGCCTCCTTACCTCCAACAATTTCTCTGGAGACAATAAGCATTGAAACTCTTTTGCAATATTGTGAAAATTATACGCGTGATTTATTGACTTACTTGAAAGAACTTTTCAAGAAAAACGTCAGGTATGACTTGATGTCTTATAAGAACATGTGAACAATAGAAAAATGATAAAAAGGAATGGATACATAAAAACATTACCTTCTGATTCACACTTTGTACACAACTTGTTGCTATCCAATGGCAAGTGCCAAAGACGAACTTCCTCATCATAAACCTGAAGAGTTTCAAGCTTATATAACCAAGACAAACGATAGTCATCAACCACGAACAAAATGGGTAGCCGTCTGCTTTCCCAAAGATCTGGGTGTGAAATGTTTTGATTCCTATAGATTATTTGCTCTTGAAGATATCATTGACTTTTTGAGAAAAAATGCTTCATCAACTCAATTCAATAATGTGAGATTACAAGGATAAAATGCATGGTGGACAATACTGACCATATTTTCGTCATCAAGGCAGTCATGGACTTCCCTCAGAACATTTACTGAGGCCTCGTTACAGATCACTGCAATGTCACCTCTATCTGCGTGGGTTAGAGTCTCTGGTTCGACGAATGTGGGTATGTGACAAAGTTTGCCAGTAGCTTCTCGTGGGTGGGTGGTTATTTCCGTGGTTTTCCCGGGTTCTTCCACCACCAGTTACATTGGCCGCCATCTATAGCCTATCTTGTGCTGATAAATGGCGTCAAACCCTACAAAAACATCAGAACATTTACTGAATTAATTTGATTGTGAATACTGTATAATTATAATAAATTTGAAAGATGGTTTTGTAAACATTGTATTATCTCTGTTCTCTAGCTCAGAAACACAGAATTCGTCGATGGCAAATGACGGTGCCTTATTGATTGAAAGTCAAAATGGACTTTACAACTTCGTCAAAAGATCATGTTTAATATTTTCGTTTCTTTGTAATCCGGACTTGAGTTATAGATTCTACTTATTATCAAATATGTCTTTTTTGTTCAAATTTAGCTGTTATCTTTTTTATATTTAAACACAATTGTAGTTACATGATTTTTCACATTCTCTCTATGGATCTTGTTCACGAACGCTTTCCGAATAGGAGGATTGTTTTCCTTCACGTCCGAATATTTCCCACATAAAGCTGCGCTTTCACATAGATACATGCCTTAAATAGATACATACCAGTCTTGATAACCTTTATAAAAACTACAACTAAGCACATAATAAGGATGAAATACCATAAAACACATAATTTTATTATAAAACCTAAAAGAAAACAAAAATTGAACTAGAATAGGATTAAAAAATGCGGCTGTATCATCCAATCAAAACCGACGAGAAAACAGACTTACATTTTGAATCATCCAAGATTATTAAGTCAACAATAGAAGAATAAAGAAGAAAGGATTCAAGACCTCACAAGGAAGAAGAAAGAAAACAAACTTCAAAAGAAGATGCCTACAACAAACCACCTACAACAACAATTCATCAGTACCAAATACAGGGATTCAATAAGCCTATATTGGAACCCTAATAACCCCTCCTGGCATACAAACACGAACATAATTGCAAGCACCTTACCTAGTCCATAACATAAAACAGGCGCTAGGACTCATACTAGCACACGCCTGGGTGGATCCTGAATCCTATAGCTCTATATATAGGATAAGATTTCCCACCATGACAAGGACATATAAGTCATGGCCGATAGCGAAGGGTACAATCAGGAACTTCCCACCTGTTATCCCTAATTCCCAGGAGCGGAGTAGACCGATTAGCCGGACACACACAAAGACCGAAAAAGTAACCTGGTAAAGTCTACAATCACAACAGTGACATATGAAAAGAATACGCAATACAAAATTTGCCTAATCAAATAAGGGATATACAGTCAGCTCTATCTGTTATCTCATAAAGGAAGAAAATGACCACAACTAGGGCAAGATGACGGAACCAACACTACCTGGAAGGTAGTCAGAAAAAAATACATAATTTCATTGCCAAGAAAGAAAAGAATCTACAATTCAAAATTGCTACCAAATCAAGTAAGGAATAGTTAGACAGCACTATCTAACATCCCACAAAACCACACCCAGAACATACACAGTCAGATCTTGCTTCGAAACAAATCAAGGGACTATGCAGGATAAACATCCATCCCCCTGCTGTCCCAAAACCCCAACCCCTGGAACGGACAAGCAATTAGCGACGGACAGTCCGGGCCGCGCGGCTAACTGGTCGAAGCCTACAACCTATGTCTTCACTTTGGCCTGGAAGACCAAAGGTTAAAACGAGATCCTTTGGAAAGGTGGTCAAAATTAAAAGCCAAACATTGTCAAAGCGGTGATAAATGTTAAAATTAGGTGACATACACCTAGGGAATGATTTCTTTTTTAAAACCATATAAGTACGCGAAGTACGCAAAATTCAACCTCATCAAAATATATTCAAAATTCACAACCCAGGAACATTTGGATAATTGAATAGGTGCCTAACACATCATTGGTATAGGGTCACCCGTAGGAAAAACTGGTTAAATTTGGCACAATAGTCCACCTAACTGAGATAAAGTTTGGTGGACTTAGACATTGGGGACTTTGGTGGGCGGGAGTTGTGGCCCGAGTGGGAAAGCTAGTTGCGGATCTTTCTTTGCTTTCGATTACAATATGCTTCAAAAGGTCTTTTTTTTGGGGTCTCTGACCTCTAGGGGTCAGGTAAAAGGCCTAGCACCAATGCCAAGTGCTCTCTTAAAGGGACTGCAGTCCATGCCCGGGACTGTAAGCAGTCTTATAAGCCTTAGGGCAGTAAGCGACTTAAAATGATGACATGACATACATACCAGTCAGACTACCTCAAGGACTAAATTAAAACTAATTAATAAGATGGTGTTAGGAGTCTATGCTCTTGAAATAGGTAACAGAAAAGAGTAAAGTCAATAAGCTTTGTAAACTTTAACAAATAATTTATTTCCCTTGAATACAAAGTGAACAATTAAGAAAAAAGAACTTACGGTTTTACGAATTAAATCCAAATATTATCCAAGAATTTATAAATATAAGTCCTAGTAATAAATGTCTTGGATGAAACTGAATTCGAGTCGCGATGAAATCCAAAATAGAAGGCGATGAGGTATGTGGTGGTCAGAGAAATACTGCAGTGTCAACAGTCTCTCGTTGAATCACAGAAAATATTCCATTTTTGAATTCAGTATTACTTCCAATAAATATCGATATCCAATAATTTTGTAGGAGCACTTATGTATTTCTAGGGAAAAAAGCAATTTAATTCAATAAAATAAAAATTCATCCCAAACTGGTCACAACATAATAACAACTGAAGGTGTCAACTGTTTGGAGCCCGACTGACAAACCTCTATAAAAAACAAGTTATACGCCAATCAAGACGCATCACATATTCCTGGATGAGGGTCAAAAGTTCATTGTTCTGGAAAAAAAGTTTGTTAGGCTATTTATCACGCAGTCCAGGTGTGACATTGACTCAACTTACAGATTCTTACTCTGAGAAAAAAATAAAATAAAAAGAAGTTGTTAAATAAAACTGTCACTTATTCTGAAACAAGGTCAGAAACTAGATTCAGTGTTAGTTGTTTACTTCAATGAAATAACAAATAACAGTCAGTTAAAACAGAACTGAACTCAATGTTACATTACAATAGCACGTAATGAAATATTAAAAAATTTAAACCTAAAAAAACCCCCAAAACAATGATGTTAAATACACATAACAATGGTAAAGTCCAAAGCATCATACCCACATAAAGCGGAATTAAAAATAATAACTCACATATACGTTTTTCAAACAGATACACCATGTACAAACGTTTCCGTAAACCAACAAAAAATTACAAATGTTATACCGATCAATCATTAAACAACAACAATAATAATAAAAATATCAGAAGAAAATTTAAAATTGCGTAGGCACCAACACTCAGCCCAAGTCGTCTGCCGTGCCGTTATGCGCCGCCTTTACCTCAGCCTCCTTTACCTCGGCCAGATATGACAATTAAATCGTATGCTTTGCATATATAAACGCAAGTGGGTAGTGGCACCTTTCCTATCCGCTTGACCAATTAAAAATCCCACAGTGTGGGAACAAACAGGTCGCAAAAGCCCGAAGGGTGAAAGCGTCTTTAATCCACATCGTAATCAAGCTACCTCTTGTCGTCCAGAAAAAGACAGAAAAGAAAAAAAAAATAAAAGAAGAGCGGCAATAGAAAAAGATTGTATTTTGGATTTTTAATGTAGCTTTAACAATTTCCAGTCATATCGCTACTATGTCTGCAGTGTTACAGTTAATTTTACCTATTTACAGCAAACACATTATAGACTTTGCATAGTAAGCCAGTTTTGTGGGTTTTTCTGTATTTTGTTATGTTTTCTTTTCTAATTATTATTTTGTGTTTAGCTTAAGTGGTTAAAGCGTCTGCCTCAGATGCAGGAACTCACAGGTTTCGATCACCGGCACAGTCATACCAAAAACTTACAAAAATGTTACTAACAGCTGCCTCGCTAGGCGCTCAGAATTAAGAGGTAGTGTTAGGACTGGTCGGTCTGGTGTCAGGATAATATGAATGGGTGGGACATGATGCTACATGTCTGAGGCATGATGCCCCCAGTGCTGGACATCGTAATAAACTGCCACGCTGCAGACATTCTATGACTGAAACCTTGTTAAAACTACGTTAAAAATTCATTTCACACACACACACACACACACACACACACACACACACACACGGGCGTCTGACTGGTGGAAAGTGTGTCTGTTTCTTCATGTTTTAGCACGTCTTGCATCGTTTGTTTACCCAAGGTTTCGATTTCCCGGTATTCTTTCATTTGAGAGTGGCTTTAATTGTGCGCCGAGTAGCATGCCACTCAAATTTTGACTTCTGAAATAATGCTACTACTGGTTAGTGTAGATAGGTCAATTTGAGCGGTTTTGATGCTTCAAGGATTGAATAGTGTCTATGAATGATGCGACCTACTTAAGGGTTTTCTGGGCGGAACGTGAGGATGAAGGGTGCTGATTTCACTTTTTCTTTTCCCTTATGATTTAGGATGTAAATTACGGTTTGCTTATTAACGTTTCACTGGCAATAACCTTTCACGAGACAGTCCGTTGTGTTCTTATACATGCATGCATGCATGCATGCATACATACATACATACATACATACATACATACATACATACATACATACATACATACATACATACATACATACATACATACATACATACATACATACATACATACAAACATGCATGCATACATACATACATACATACATACATACATACATACATACATACATACATACATACATACATACATACATATGTACATACATACATGCATGCATATATACATACATGCATACATGCATACATGCATACATACATACATGCATACATGCATACATACATACATACATACATACATACATACATACATACATACATACATACATACATACATACATACATACATACATATGTACATACATACATGATGCATACATACATACATGCATACATACATACATACATACATACATACATACATACATACATACATACATACATACATACATACATACATACATACATACATACATACATACATACATACATACATACATACATACATATGTACATACATACATGATGCATACATACATACATACATACATACATACATACATACATACATACATACATACATACATACATACATACATACATACATACATACATGATGCATACATACATACATACATACATACATACATACATACATACATACATACATACATACATACATACATACATACATACATACATACATACATACATACATGTATGCATGTATGTATGTATGTATGTATGTATGTATGTATGTATGTATGTGTGTGTGAGTGTGCGTGCGTGCGCGCGCGTATGTATGTATGTATGTATGTATGTATGTATGTATGTATGTATGTATGTATGTATGTATGTATGTATGTATGTATGTATGTATGTATGTGTGTGTGAGTGTGCGTTCATGCGTGCGCACGCGTATGTATGTATGTATGTATGTATGTATGTATGTATGTATGTATGTATGTATGTCCTCACGCACGCACGCATGTTCGGATGGATGTATGGAGTGATGAAGTGTGATGTGATGTGATGTGATTTTTTTTTAACGTAGCTTTAACAAATTTTCAGTGATTTCGCTATGATGTCTGCAATGTGGCAGTTTATAGTGATGTCTAGCACTGGAGCATATTGTCGCATACATGTAGCATGATGTCCCACCAATCATATTATCCTGACACCAGACCGACCGGTCCTAACACTAACCTCTTAATGTTGAGCGTCAAGCGAGGCAGCTGTTAGTGCCATTTTTGTAAGTCTTTGGTATGACTCGACCACGAATCGAACCCACGACCTCTCGCATCCGAGGGGGACGCTCTAACCACTAGGCCACCAGAGCAATTATGTATGTATGTATGTATGTATGTATGTATGTATGTATGTATGTATGTATGTATGTATGTATGTATGTATGTATGTATGTATGTATGTATGTATGTATGTATGTATGTAGTGTTTTAAGACATATCAGCACAAACGCAAACAAAAGGTCATGTTCCAGAAACATATAATTGAAAAAATGCAAAACACTAAAGGAAGATAGAGCCTTTCAAATAAATAAGCACAACAAGATAAAATATAAGCCATAAGATGTTAACTTTCTGTAAAATGAATTTAAAATGACATACAGAGTTAACACTTACAGGTTATACTTACAAGTAACTCAGGTAACACTTAAAGATCCTTAAATATATGACTAAATGTTGTTGTATAAACCCCTTTCTGTTAAAAGTCCATGATTTTCTCATGTGGTGCAACCTGTTACAGTCCAGCAGTTTACGTCAAACTACATCTGTCTCACATTTGGAAATCAAAACACACCACAAGAAAATACTTCACTGCCAGTGGATACTGACAGGTTGGTCGAAGTTCAAGGTATGTGTCCTAAACGCTATAGGCACAATACCATTCCTATCTCCGTATCGTTCCTGAGGGAAGATGTCACTCTCTAATATTGCGTTTGATGTTCTGACGTTTGGTTGTGGAGTTTTTATTCCAAATATTTTGCCAAGTGTGACGAACTGATTAATGTTGATTTGAAGCCAATATATGGAATCTTCCGCTCATGTTATTGTACTATATGAACACATAATAATAGAAAGTTTTAAATCTATTATATACATATTATCTTGATCGATTTTCCGTTTTATTTCTTTTTCTGTCATTCAGTAGATTCTGAATCTGTAATTTAAATAATATTAATATATATTTGTAGATGTAGTTCTTTCTTAAGGAACAATAAAACAGTTTTAATATAAAGATCATTTGGAAGTAGGGCTGTTGTCCCAAGTTTCGCAGAAATGACACAGGGGCACGTTGGCCTACATATTCTCATTTTGGTTTTCCAACTCCAACATAAATGACACAATAGCACATTGGCCTCCATACCCCCATTTCGGTCTCCCACCACCAACATAAATGACATAGTAGCATATTGGCCTACATATCCTCATTTTGGTCTTCCAACTCATACACAAATTACAAATTAGCACATGGGCCTACAAATCCTCATTTTGGTCTTCCAACATAAATGACACAGTAGCACATAAGCCTACATATCCTCATTTTTGTCTTTCAACTCATACATAAATGACACACTAGCACACTGGCCTACATATCCTCATTTTGGTCTTCCATCTCATACATAAATGACACATTAGCACATGGGCCTACATATCCTCATTTTGGTCTTCCAACTCATACATAAATGACACATTAGCACATTGGCCTATATATCCTCATTTTGGTCTTCCAACTCATACATAAATGACACATTAGCACATGGGCCTACATATCCTCATTTTAGTCTTCCAACTCCAACATAAATGATACAGGAGCAGGTTGGTCTACATATCCTCATTTTGGTCTTCCAACACCAACATAAATGACACAATAGCACGTTGGCCTACATATCCTCATTTCTGTCTTCCAACTCCAACATAAATGATACAGGAGCAAGTTGGCCTACATATCCTCATTTTGGTCTTCCACCACCAACATAAATGACATAGTAGCACATGGGCCTACATATCCTCATTTTGGTCTTCCAACATAAATGACACAGTAGCACATAAGCCTACATATCCTCATTTTTGTCTTTCAACTCATACATAAATGACACATTAGCACACTGGCCTACATATCCTCATTTTGGTCTTCCATCTCGTACATAAATGACACATTAGCACATGGGACTACATATCCTCATTTTGGTCTTCCAACTCATACATAAATGGCACATTAGCACATTGGCCTATATATCCTCATTTTTGTCTTCCAACTCATACATAAATGACACATTAGCACATGGGCCTATATATCCTCATTTTGGTCTTCCAACTCCAACATAAATGATACAGGAGCAAGTTGGCCTACATATCCTCATTTCGGTCTTCCACCACCAACATAAATGACACAGGAGCACGTTGGCCTATATATCCTCATTTTTGTCTTCCAACTCCAACATAAATGATACAGGAGCACGTTGGCCTACATATCCTCATTTTGGTCTTCCACCACCAACATAAATGACATAGTAGCACATGGGCCTACATATCCTCTTTTTGGTCTTCCAACACCAACATAAATGACATAGTAGCACGATGGTCTACATATCCTCATTTTTGTCTTCCAACTCCAACATAAATGAGACAGGAGCACATTGGTCTACATATCCTCATTTTGGTCTTCCACCACCAACATAAATGACACAGGAGAACGTTGGTCTACATATCCTCATTTTTGTCTTCCAACTCCAACATAAATGACACAGGAGCGCGTTGGTCTACATATCCTCATTTTGGTCTTCCAACACCAACATTAATGACACAGGAGCACGTTGGTCTACATATCCTCATGTTTGTCTTCCAACTCCAACATAAATGACACAGGAGCACGTTGGTCTACATATCCTCATTTTTGTCTTCCAACTCCAACATAAATGACACAGGAGCACATTGGCCTACTTATCCTCATTTTGGTCTTCCAACTCCAACATATATGACACAGTAGCACATGGGCCTCCATACCCCCATTTCGACTCCCACCTCTAATATAAATGACACAGTAGCGCATTGGTCTCCTCATTGTCATTTCGATCCATGTGCCTTGCATGTATGAGTACCAATTAGGATGACTGTCCCTGCATTATCGAGTTTCGGGCACACGTTTCCAGGGGAAAGGCTAATGTATATCTCTCAAAACTGCACGAAGCATGGTCGTATGCATCGAGAAATCAACATTTGTTTTACTCTTTATGCAGTGTATTTATACAGAGAGAGAGAGAGAGAGAGAGAGAGAGAGAGAGAGAGAGAGAGAGAGAGAGAGAGAGAGAGAGA